TTACCCCTTACCCCTGCCCGTGAAGTGACCGGCAATCTGAAATGGGATTAATTTGTTCACCATCTGTTTTAAAATGTGTTGTTCAATTTTAATTGTTTTACCTAGTGTATATTTTTATTCATATTGTACATCACCCAGAGCCCTGAATTAGCAGGCATTGTGCAATGGTGATAATGAGGATGAAGAAGAAGACTGTAAATCATTTGGGATTTAGAAGAAGAAGAAGAAAAGATTGGATTTATACCCCGCCCTTCACTACCCAAAGGAGTCTCAGAGCGGCTTACAAACTTCTTTCCCTTCCCCACCCCGCAACAGACATCCTGTGAGGTTGGTGGGGCTGAGAGAGCTCTGACAGAAACTGCTCTTTTTCAAGGACAGCTGTTATCAGAACTATGGCTTGCCCAAGGTCATCCAGCCAGGTGCAAGTGGAGGAGTGGGGAATCAAACCCGGTTCTCCCAGATTAGAGTCCGCGTACTTAACCACTACACGAAAATGGCTCTTATATAAAAGCAGGGGTTGGATCTATTCCTTAGGACACTTGGGCTGTGCCATTCATGTCCCATTGTTTATTTTTATTTACTTATTTATTTCCTTCCATTTATATCCCACCCTCTCCACAAAGCAGGCTCAGGGTGGGTTCCGACCTATAATAATCTGCTGGGTGCAAATTTTGTCAAGTAGAGGTATGACTTCAAAATGCCCTCCAGAACCTACTGAGTCTGGGTATTAAAATCTGCTACTCACAGGACAATGGCTTAGAAAGGTACAGCTCTGCTTAGGACCATATTATTAATGACCCAGCTAAGAGATTCCCTGCCCCATAGTTTCCCTTCCACACGCGAGGCTGGTTGCATCACACAGACACCCATGATGGGAATTTAAGTAACCTGCACAATCAAAACCAGACGATGCAGCTTGGTAATATTATGCAAGTCTGCAAAAGTCCCCAGTACATAGATGTGTCATTGACCCAAGACTTCAATCTTGGTAACAAAAAGTGACCCAATGTCCTACAGCAATGCCACAGCAGACAGCAAGACATGGAAGGAAATTGCGTCTTCTCGACTTAGATTTCCCTGGATAACCTCTAAACAGACTCTGCTCTGAAATAAAAGGAGACAGAACAGTAGTATTCAGTCCACTTAGCTCACCTACAGCCACTGCACCCGCCGACATGCATTAAGAATTTTATTCCAACTGTTATTTAAAACACCAAACAGTATCCCAGAATCCTAGCCATTAGGAACGGCAACCCAGGTGCTCAGAATAACACAATTAAAATGCAGTGCACGTCAGCCATAGCAAAAATCTCTCTCTCCTCCTATCCCGAGTTGCATTACAACCTAAAGCAAAAATCTCTCTCTCCTCCTATCCTGAGCTGCATTACAACCTAATTTACATAATTCAGCCCTTCCCCTCAGTCCTTTCAAGCACATTTTCTGCACCACATGTGACTGAAGCATTCCCAGCATCCTTAATTGCTTAACCACAGACTTGTTGGTGTGTAATGTCAGAAATGACCTAGACTTAATGTGCCCAAGCAGTGGCTTGCATACGTGGTTCCTCATGCAGCTGTGGATAGGCCAGTCCCATGCACGTATCACCCAACCTGGATCAGGGCAATTGTCCACAGCACAAGGGAAGGGTGGGGAAAATGCTAATGGGCATAGTATGCTACTGTTACGAGAAACGCACAGAGCTATATTTTTGCAGCATTCTAAATGAAGTCGAGCAATTCATCTACAGCTTGATCTGTAGGGGGGGAAACTGAGAGGATATGAGGGAGGAGTACATAGACTACACTTGATAGCAATAGAGCAAGTCCCAGTAAAAAATTTTGAGAGCAGTTGTACACTGTTTTAATGGAACCAGCGGAAAGGGAGGGAGGAAGGTTCATATGCAAAAATAACACGATGGTACTTTAGCTGACAAACCCAAATCCAAACACACACTTTTTAAAACATTGGGTCTGTTTGTTAACTTCTTTAAAAAGAGATTTACTGATTAAATGTAATAGAACAAATTCATGTATAGTCCAATTCCTCAATATTCCCCTTTTGAAAAACCTGGAGGATGGGAACCGTTCCTTCCGACATCTCTCTGAGTGTGAATAACTGACCTTATTTTCAGCTGGAAAGGCCACTGTTAATATTATTTTTCCCCACTAATTTGAAAGTGTTATGGGCATCCTGAAGCCCAACACTTTCTTTTTGAGACAGAAAGGCAGCTTTGGGACAAGAGCGACACTTTCCTTTTGAGACAGAAAGGCAGCTTTGGGACAGGGCAACGTGGGGTGGACCCTGACTTGCACAGTCCAGGCTAACCTGATCTTGTTAGATCTTGGAAGCTAAGCAGGGTCAGCTGTGGTTAGGATTTGGATGGTAATTTGGGTCACTATGCAGAAATTTGGGTCACTATGCAGAGGCAGGCAATGGCAAAACAGCTCTGAACATCGCTTGTCTTGAAAACCCTACAGAGGTCATCTTAAATCAGCTGTGATTTAACAGCAATTGCTTAACTATTTTTTCCACTATTTTTAAAAAATTGCCATTTTCAGCTACATAATTTCTATTCCTATACCAAATTACGCAGCAAGAACTACGGTTTAATAAAGCAGTTATTGACCATTGTTCTATATACATGTTAATATCTCCACCTTGGTGCTAAAAAAATCAAATTAAACTGCATACAATATTGCATAAAGGGTGATCAACATTTTAGACAGTGTTCCTATGACCAAAGTTTACATGTGAAACTATATTTGCAAGTTGGCATTTTATTCATTATCATAACAAAACAGACCTTTTCTAGACACTGTCGTTTGCGGCTTCCAGAATTGTGTTAACGGCTCTGCGGCTGAAATTAACAGCTGTTTTACCAAATCACATCCCACCCGCCCCTTTCCCAGGAAAAAAAATCATAAGGTACTGGGAAAGCATTTGAAAGAAGGTAGAGTCGGATTTAGCCCACCCATCTATCCTACCTCCTACTGCAGTTTTAAGCATGGGGTTTTTTTTTCTTTAAAAAGAGATCTGAAACTGGAGTTAAATCTGGCTGCAGATGAAATTGGCTCTGGTGAGCATCTGAAAGGGAAATCAATGGGAATAGGTAATGTACCCTCTACTACAGGGGGACATGAGTGTGGTGAACTTGTGTTTGCTATGGGAGCATCCTCAGAACACAGCCTGTGTGTGCAGGGAAACGTTTTTCCAAACAACAGACCTGTCTCAGTGGCCGGCAGTCTGCAACAGGTGCCAACCAATTAGTGACCAGCACTGACCGCCAGTCAAACATGAAAACCACTTCAAGGTCTTATCATATTGCTTAACTATTTTTTCCACTATTTTTTTAAAATTGCCATTTTCAGCTACATAATTTCCATTCCTATACCAAATTACACAGCAAGAACTGCGGTTTAATAAAGCAGTTATTGACCTTTGTTCTATATACATGTTAATATCTCCACCTTGGTGCTAAAAAATCAAATTAAACTGCATACAATATTGCATAAAGGGTGATCAACATTTTAGACAGTGTTCCTATGACCAAAGTTTACATGTGAAACTATATTTGCAAGTTGGCATTTTATTCATTATCATAACAAAACAGACCTTTTCTAGACACTGTCGTTTGCAGCTTCCAGAATTGTGCTAACGGCTCTGCGGCTGAAATTAACAGCTGTTTTACCAAATCACACCCCACCGGCCCCTTCCCAGGAAAAAAAATCACAAGGTCCTGGGGAAGCATTTGAAAGGAGAGTCAGGTAGAGTCAGATTTAGCCCACCCATCTATCCTACCTCCCACTGCAGTTTTAAGCATGGGTTTTTTTTTTCTTTAAAAAGAGATCTGAAACTGGAGTTAAATCTGGCTGCAGATGAAATTGGCTCTGGTGAGCATCTGAAAGGGAAATCAATGGGAATAGGTAATGTACCCTCTACTACAGGGGGACATGAGTGTGGTGAACCTGTGTTTGCTATGGGAGCATCCTCAGAACATGCCTGTGTGTGCAGGGAAATGTTTTTCCAAACAGCAGACCGTCTCAGTGGCCATTTCCACAAGACAGCTGGCAGTCTGCAACAGGTGCCAACCCATTAGTGACCAGCATTGACCGCCAGTCGAACATGAAAACCACTTCAAGGTCTTATCATTAGGAAAAGCTAACCCTGCCTGCTCCACACTTCCTTCCAACGCATACTCAAATGCACTCCCTTATCAAAGTGGGTTTTTTTAAACAGCAGGTTCACTACCCTCATCTGTCACAGTGCTCACAGTCGAGAGCCCAGGGACGTGACTGGAAAGGAATAAAGGCATCCCGGATGGAATTTGCTCAGGCCTGTTGCACATCATGACAAAAAGTGCCAGCCCCTTTCTAGCTCCCAGTGCGTAGCTACGCAACTCCATTGCCCACGTACGCCATGATAAGTATCTCGCCTAGCCATGGCCAAGCTACACACAATTTACTGAAATATTTCTACGCTACATTCCTTGCCATTCATGCAGTACCCAAATCGCTAACAATCCAGTTTATGAAAATACACACCATCATTACCAGTATCTTTTTAATTTATTTATTACATTTCTTAATCGCCCAATCCCTGCTAATGCTGGGCTCTGGGCGATGTACAACAGTCATAAAAACATGTTTAAAAACAATTAAAACATGAATAGTACAAGGCCCAAGCGGGAAAACTGTCTAAAACAGCCAGGTTTTTAGCGTAATGACTAAGGATCATCATTGAGGGAGTCTAATTCTCCCCACTAGACTGGTCTACAGATGTGCAATTTCCGGAAATGCTGATGCCACCATTGAGGGGGGATGCATGTTTTAGGGAAAAAATGGAAATGGGGGGAGATTAAAGTATATCCAATAATTACTTTCTCATCAAACCTGGAAGTATTTTTTTGCTAACACAATATCAAATGCATCATTTATAACTTCAATCTGACATATACGGCCCTCTTCTGAAAACATGTTCCCGACCACGATTGTAGATCCTACCTGTTTGTATTCTCCAGGACTTCCACTTTCTTGCGAAGCTCACTGTTCTCAGTGGAGCAGCACTCGACCCTAGGACAAGAACAAGGAATTCAGTGTTAAAAGTTTAGTCAGACCGGGGCCTTCTACTGCCTGAGCTGCCATTTGTAACAAGAGAGAGATACACCACAGTCCTTTCATTTAGAAAACTGAAGTTCATTCTACTGTGAAATAAAGCCTTGGATTTTACAAGACAGAGTCAGCTGCTTTTCAGGAAAGTTCTCAGCCCTGGAAGGGCACAATATGAGATTCTGGGGCACATGAAGAAGGAAGGAAGCGGGGGAGATCTCATTTCACCAGCAAGGATCCTCTCTGAAACAAGCCATTGATTAGTAGAGTTCTCATTACCAGCCACCAGGGGGCACCTGAAACACACACTGTTCCAAGTCTTCCATGTGGGCCTCAGGCATCCAAAATGAGCTCAGCAAGATGTCTAGCCAACAGCTGGATGCCTTTTGTGAACAGCGCAGTTCCTTCAAACAGAGTCAGATCACTGACCCACTTAAGCCTAACTATCTGCTTTGAGTAGCAGCAGTTCACCAAGGTCTCAAGGCTTTCCCTAGTCCAGCTACCCAACAGAGGTCCTTTAACTGGAAATATGAAGGTTGAACTTAGGACCTTCTGCACGCAAAGCTTGTGGGTGCATCACTAGCCATCGCTGCAACCTAATTAGAAGGGCAAGCTGGGAAGCTTACTTTTTCTCCAGGCTGTCCATGTATTCTTTCTTTTTCCTTCTGCTCTCCTGGGCAGAGATCTACAAGAGAAAGGATAATACCATCTATGGCAAATATACAACATACCACCAAACACATTAGAGCAAGGGGAAAGTCTAAAACTGCAGGCTAGTTTTATTTTTAAAGAAGAGAAGAAGAAGAGATTGGATTTATACCCCGCCCTTCACTACCCAAGGGAGTCTCAGAGCGGCTTACAAACTCCTTTCCCTTCCCCTCCCCACAACAGACACCCTGTGAGGTAGGTGGGGCTGAGAGAGCTCTGACAGTAACTGCTCTTTTTCAAGGACAGCTCTTATCAGAGCTACAGCTTGCCCAAGGTCATCCAGCCAGGTGCAAGTGGAGGAGTGGGGAATGAAACTTGGTTCTCCCAGATTAGAGTCCACGCACTTAACCACTACACCAAACTGGCTCTGTAACCAGTCATGGAATTCTTTGGCTGAACAGCCCCCTCTACATTTAGGAGTACAGGAAACGAGAGGGGAGGGCTATCATGGTCATACTGAGCAGTTTAAGCCCCCCACATATGGTGCGCATGAGGGCATCCTTTAACTTCCTTTCTGATAACTCAACTGCCGCCATTCACATCTATGGGCACAAGGCCTTGGGGTTACCAATCCCCAGGTGGGGCATGGAAATCTCCTGGAATTTTAATTGATCTCCAGATTACAGAGAGAGAAAAAACCCTCCAGCAATTTCCCATGTTAAAAGGGCAGTGCTTAAGAATATTTAGGGAGCAAGGACAAAATTTGCCCTGCGACCTCCAAGATGGCACAGCCTTCAGAGATAGTGTACCCTGGGGTAGTGATGCACTGTATTCTTGCTGCTTGGGGGGCAACAGTGGGAGGGCTTCTGGAGTTCTGGCCCTGCTGGTGAACCTCCTGATGGCCCCTGGGTTTTGGCCACTGTGCGACACAGTGTTGGACTGGGTGGGCCACTGGCCTGATCCAACATGGCTTCTTTTATGTCCTTAAGTACCCCTGCAAGGGGTACTGTATGCCTTGGCAGTCACGACACCAGACACATACTGCAACAATGAAGCCCTCCCTACACATTCACTCCTCCTATGGCAACAATGGCTCCTCCTATGGCACCCACCTGCTTATTCCCCCATTATGAAGTAATGCTAGTTCCAGGATAAAAAACAGGAGTATAGTCTGTTTTCATGAGAAAAGGATATAGGAATTGTGGGAAAGGTTATCAAAACATGCAAGGTAGCTGCATCTGTCCTATTCATATGTCCAGTATTCTTACAACTGAAAGAACTTTCAGGCCCAGGAACCAAGGAAGGAACCAGATCAAGCCCAAGATCAAGCAGGATCTGAGAAATGGGGGTCCCTCCAGAGGGTTGAGATGATAAAATGCCCACGGCACTCAGCCGTGACTTGGCCAGGGCTGGAAGCATTTTAATTATTTAGCATTTATACCCTGCTTTCCAGCCAGATGGGCTTCTCAAAGTGGTTCACCGTCATAATCCATCACAATTTTTAATTAAAGCCAGAGGCACATTGAAAGAAATACTGCAGCATGTATTTGGATCTGGCAGAACACCGAGAAACTGGGACTGTCAATTGTCTCACATGTTAGTCCTTCTCTCTCATCCCCACCTTCCCCGGCTGCTTCCTGGCTTCCCTGCCCAGTGGTAAGGGCATCTGTCCAGGAAGTACACCCAACAAAAATTAGCTGGATACTAAAGATGAGCTTCCTGGACCACCAAGAAGCTGGGACTGTCCGCTGGTCAAGGGGATGATGAAGTACACCAGATCCTTCATCTCCGCTCTCATCCAAGCATGTGTCCGGCTCCTTTTCAAGGACGACATCGTTAGCTGTACATGGGTGAGAGTGCAAACTGGCAAATGCTGCCCTGTCACAAGTGCCAGTGGGTGTCGCCCAAAAAGCTCAGCCTCTCAGAGCAGTCACTATTATCCTGAGTCACCATCTGACCTTCCTTTCTGCAGAACTAATTATTGCACAATATTATGAAGTAATGCGCAAGACTGAGTCCAGAAACTCAACACCCTCTTGTACCTTGTTCTTGATTTTCCTACGGATCTTCTTGAGTGCTTTCTCTTCTGCTTTTGTGAGAGGCAGCTTTGTAGGGATAGGGTACCCTTCTGCTACCAGTGTCCTCTTCTCCTCCTCCGTCAAGATCAGAGGACCCGTGCCCTGGAGTTTCTGTGACCACCGTGAGGACGAGGGAGAAAAAGAAGAATATAATTAAATGCGTACAAATCCCTTCTGCAATCTGAACCACAGGCATCTGCCAGGGACTTCAGATCTCGTCTGCCTTGGATGGGGTTATACTCCCCCTGAAAAGCCAGCTTCACAGCTAGGGAATGCTGCTTGACACAAGAGTCACCTTAAAAAAACCAGGTGGCTGCTGTGGCTTGGAGTGTGTTTGCCCGGCTTTGGATGGTGTGCCAGCTGTGGCCGTTTGTGGTTCAGGCAGATCTAACCACAGTGATCCATGCCTTAGTTACATTTGGGCTGGACTACTGTAATGCACTCTACTTGGGGCTACCCTTGAAGAGCATTGGGCAATTACAACAAATGCAGAATGCCGCGGCTAGACTGGTGGTTGGGGCCAGCTACCAGGAGCATATGTCCCCAATACTACAGCAATTACACTGGCTATAGATCTTCTCCCAAGCCCAGTTCAAGGAGCTGTTTTCGTCCTTTAAAGCACTACAAAGCTTTGGACTGGGGTATCTGAAGGAATTCAGATCACAGGAAGAGGACCGCCAAACAAAGGGGGCTCACATCTAGCGGGCACACAAGAAAGAGAGGCCCCAACTATTATGGAACAACCTCCCCAGGGAGGTGCACCTGGCCTCCTCACTGTTGCTCTTTAGGAGGCAGCTGAAGATAGTTTTGTTCAGGACTGTTTGCTGAATTAGTTTTTATTGGCAGTCCAAACTGTTGACTTTTAATGGGTTTTTATCATTGCATTTATTGTAAAAAGTAAAGGTAAAGGTTCCCTTGCTCGAAAGCCAGTCAAGTCCGACTCTGGGGTTGCGGTGCTCATCTCAGTTTCAAAGCCAAAGAGCCAGCGCTGTCCGAAGACGTTTCTGTGGTCACGTGGCCGGCATGATTAAACACCAAGGTGCACAGAATGCTGTTACCTTCCCACCGAAGTGGTACCTATTTATCTACTTGCAATTTCTTGCTTTCGAACTGCTAGGTTGGCAGGAGCTGGAACTAGAGACGGGAGCCCACTCCGTCATGCGGCAACTCGGGTCTCGAACTGCTGAACTACTGACCTTCCACAGCCTGCAGTTCAGCGTCTTAACCACTTGAGCCACCGCAGCTTTTACTGTGCATGTGTGTTTTTCCCCCATAACGTTTTATCTATATAGTCAGCTGTTCATAATTTTAAAAAAGAAATAAACAAGTAAATTGCAAATAGGGGACCGAGCAAAATGCTGGCATTTGCTTCAATGTACGTGCAAACAGTACACAGAAAGGGCTGGTTCTCCAAAAGGATTATAAACGCAACTGCCATGATTATTAATAACCTTAAGTCATGAATTCCAGTTTTAAAAATACATAACTGTAATACCACCAAGAATGCTGGGCAAACTCTCTTCTGGCTTGCTTGAGTGTGCCTGGCTGACCAGCCCTTTCCTTCCCTTTTGCTGAGAGTCCCACAGTGACCCCACCACCACCACCACCACTGCCTGGCAGGAGCCTAACGGTTCCCCCTTTTTAATCACATCATATGATTTAATATGATGCAATGCCCTCTTTTTATATTCTTTAATAGGCTGCTGTTGCATTAATTCCTGATTTGCATTTATACCTAGGTCTTTTTAAACTCTGATTATTCCTTTAGTGTTTATGGTAGAGTCTTCTGCATTTTCTAAGCTGCTTTATGCATCTCCAGCAGAAAGGTGGGATACAATTCTCCAGAGCAGATCACTACTGCAGCAGGCCAAGAGGTGCCAATTGCCAGAGCTAAGCTTGTTGGGCATTGATAATACTTGTTTCTATTGGTAGCGTGATCCCCAGGAGGGTGACCTGGCACCCACCTGCTTATTCCCCCAAAGCACAGAGCCAGTCCTGCCCTTCGCCCTCCTCAGTGGAGCAAAACTCTTCAGAAGAGCCCAGGAGGAATCACTTTTGGGTCTGCAGGAAGCACCCATTTGAAAATATCTGCACCCATCACAGAAGGACACTTTGCTTGGGGCCTTCCCAACATTTTGTAATTGTCGCCCAGAGCAACCATTGTCTGGTGGCGCCCACTACCCTGAGTCAACTTTCCTCAAGGTTCATCAAGGTTGGGAACCCCTGTACTAGCACTCCAGATTTAATCTGCTGGAAACACAAATGCCAGATCAGACACTGTAATATAGCAGGCAGGGAGTCAAACTAGAATCTTAGAGATCCAGTTTCAAGTCCCCAAACTTCTATAGAGCTCACCAGATGACCGTGGGCCAGTCTCAACCTAGCTGACCTCAAAGGCTTCTGGTAACAAAGAAATTTGTAGAAAAAGCCCAGCAGGAGCTCATTAGCATAATAGGCCATACCCAACAGCAGGAAATAATTAGCATATTAGGCCACACCCCTGATAGCACAGCTCATTCGCATATTAGGCCACACCCCCATGTTACCAGAAGTGTGGTCACCCAGCCACACCCACCTTTTGCTTCTTATTCTCTTTACCTTGTTTGTTGACAAAACCCAGGGCCTTTTTTTGGAGCAGGAACTCCTTTGCATGTTAGGCCACACACCTCTAATTGTAGCCAATCCTAATTAGTTTCTGCTGTTGGCTGTGGCCTATTATGCTAATGAGTTCCTGCTGGGCACGGCCAACTTGGGAGCCAGCCGGAACTCCGTTCCTGTGCGTTCCTGCCCAAAAATAGCCCTGCTTCTGGTAACAAAGAAAAGGATAAAAGCGCATTAGACAATTTTGAGTTTTAATCTGGATTCCTACAGGAAATCTGTTATCATATCGCCGGAAGTTCATAACGTACAAAAGCATATGCATTTTTTTAAAAAGAGAGAGAGAGACCTACATGTGGCGCTGTTAAGAGAGGAGAATTGGTAAGCACTGAAGCCACGCGTGGTGTCACTTTAACAGTGGCTTGTAACTGTGTGGGACTTGATGGTGGGAGGGACCTGGTTGGGCTCTGGCCACCCTCGGAGTCACTGCCGTGGCTGCTGGGAGGTGTCGGAGGCATGTGAAGGGTATCCACCACTGAAAGAGACAGAAAGGGGGGGGGGATCAAAAACTGTCTTAAAGCATTGGGAGAAAAGGAAACACAACAGTTAATGACTGGAGGCAGATGTGCTTCGAAAAGCTCGGAAAGTAAATAATGACTCTGTGGGGGAAACACACCTATTTAAATACACAAGCGTCAGAGAAGTAAGGATACTGAAGGCACACCTACTACGCAAAATTTAAACTAGTTCAAACATTGTAGTTTCCCCAACACACACAAAGGAACCTTGGGAACCGAAGCTTATTGAAGGAAGGAATTTGATTCATTTTTTTTAATCCAAGGGCCATAAAAATAGTATCGATGAATTCTCTGTTTTAAACTCAGAATTATCATAACTGGGAAAGGGCAGGTTTAACTACAGCATGAAGACCCCATTTACGTTTGTGCAAGAAGACGATTTTGACAAAATGGGGAAACTGCAGACGTACGAATTAGCAAGTCAATGGTGATCTTATCTTAAGAAGGATCTGCCCATGATGAGCGGACCACTACAGATCCATTATCCAAGCCCTGTCACTCATTTGCAAAGGAAGAAAAAACCCACATCCATCTGATTGACTGAATCATGTCTTTATTGCTACAGATCCATTATCCAAGCCCTGTCACTCATTTGCAGCTTTCAACAATCCTGGAGTTTAGAACACATCAGTCGCTATGATAGCCGAGTAGATGAAAATATTATTATTTCTTTGGCGAGAGGTGCATCCTTCCTCCAACTCTTCCCTCTAACAAAAAGGTCAATTATTCAGACACATGTAAAGATGCTAAGTCTGTAATGTCACCTGTCAATCAGTTGTGCAATACACAAATAGTCCGCAAAGGAAGAAAAAACCCACATCCATCTGATTGACTGAATCATGTCTTTATTGCTACTGATTCCCATGTACAAGGAGGAGGAGGAGGAGATTGTATTTATACCCTGCCAGTGACAGCCCCAGGTTTTTTCGCCCACTAGGCGAGGATACATTCTGGAGGGGCCCCCTCCATGTGGGGTGGGCGCCGGAGCTGCAGCAGGCGGGACAAGGGGACAAGCTGCAAATGCATGCCACGGGGGGGGGGGGCAGGATGGGGGGAGGGGAGGGGTAGGGGGCCTGTGCCAGGCTGCAAAAGGAGCTCGAAAGAGACCGCGGGGGCGGCAGAGGGCGAGCAGCACTTTCCCGTCATCCTGGGCTGTTCCCCATGCCTGTCGTCCCTCCCCCCCGCCACCTTCTCTTTCTGTCTGGGGGGCTGCAAAGAGGGGAGTCTCTTGCCGGGGAGAGAGCAAGAAGCCGGCAAGGGAGGCTTCCTGTGCAGGGCGAGGAGGGGACAAGGCCAGCGAGAATGGTGCTCCTTCCCCGCCCCACAACAGACCCCCTGTGAGGCAGGTGGGGCTGAGAGCTCTTTTGAGGACTGCTCTTGAGAGGACAGTTCTGAGAGAATCTGTGACTGACCCAAGGTCACACCAGCAGCTGCACATGGAGGAGTGGGGAATCAAACCCACTTCTCCCAGATTAGAGTCTGCCACTCCTAACCACTACACCAAACTGGCTCTTCCCTCAAACCAAACAGAACAACTCTAAACATTGACTATCCTCCCTGTCTCATGGGCTCACCGCAGTTTACAGCAAATCACCTCTCTCTCTCCCCCAGTGCGCTTATAGTCTAAGCCAGGGGTCCCCAACGTGGGGGCCTGTGGACTGGTGTCTGCCAACACTTTTCCTGGTGCCTGCCAAGTGCTTTTAGAATGTGGGTGGGGCTAGGTAAGCAGGGCTTATGATGGGCTGTGCAGATTAAAAGGCGTTCTTTTAAAAAGAGTTTCTGCCTGAATTGTTACAGGGTGACTACTAGAGTTACACATAACCTTGCTCCCTGACCTTTTGTGGCTGGCTCTGCCTTCCATAGCAGCCATTTCATGGTTTGTGCCCACCACCCTTTGTCCAGATTCTAAAGGTGGGAACTCCTGGTCTAAGCAATGGATACGAACACCTTGAGAAAACAAATGAGGGTATCCCCCCAAAAAACAACTCTTCCCATTCACTGGACGTTTTGTTGCAGCAGTTTCTTCTTTTATCCCAACATGCAGTTCTCACAACAGAACCCCTTTTAGATAAGGCCTCTCTTCTGCAGTCCATTGTATTGACAGGAAACTGGGACAAACAACTAACCTTCCTTGGAAGAAAGGTTCAGGAACTGATCCACTTCATGAGGCTCCAGTTTGATCTCTGGGAGAGTTTTGTGATTCAGTGGCTTAGCCTAAAGGGCGAAAGTTTAGAGGGAAATCAGACACCAGTATTAGGACAGAATCAGAAATCAAACACCAGCATCAGGACAGAATCTTTCCTGCTTCCCATCTCCTTAATAAGCAAGAAGACTGCCATGGAAATATCTGTCTCTGCCAGTAAATATGAAGGCGTAGACAGAAACAGTGAGACATAGATCAGCCTCAGAGTTTAAATCCATCAGTTGCAAACATACATAGATTGGGAAGTCAGACCAAAATGGCAAAATGCATCTTTTAAAATGAATATCCATCCCATTAAATCTGAGATGTTCAAGCTCTCTGTCAGCTGTCAGGCGGCAGGACAGAAGAACAGTAACAGATATCACTGCAAAGGAGCAACTGGCACGGCTGGTCACATATCGAGTCATGTCCAACTCCAACTGAAAGACTACGATCAATTTTAATCACCCAGGCACTATAAGATAAGGCATGTTACATTGGCTGGATGACGGCCTTAGCTAGCAGGATTGCTTTTAATTCTCTCTTTCTGAAACACACACAGTCCCCTCCCTTCATATCCCCTCCTCCCTCCCTCTGTGCATTTTTAAAGTACAGAAGACACTGCGAAGGGAACCACTGCTGTAACAGCATTTAAAGCGTCATTTAAAGTTAGGCCCAGATTTAGAGGCATCCAGGCCCAACTCTTCTCAAAATGAGCGAGTGCCACTACTACACCACCAACTTTCATGTGTTTTATTAAGAATTGTGAATCACACTGACAGATACGCCAGGAAGCTTGAACTGACTGCAGCTCGCAGCTTTGCATTGTCTCTTATGTCTTCATTATGTCTTATAGTCTTCAGAGGAAGACTATAGGAGAGCTAGAGAGACAGATAGGACCTGTGTATCTTTCCTTTCATCTGCTTTGCTGCTACCCTTTTGATGTACACACTACTGCTCTCAGGGTATCTTCCTTCCTTCTGGCTGACAACTTCTCTCCCTTCTTCTCCATCTTGCCCCCGTAAGAGCCGGACATGCTTCCTGCATCTCCACCCATCCTAATGAGACTAAATCAGAGCCCTGTCTCTACTCTATCCTGTCTAGAATGGAGCTGTTTACAATAAAGGACCATATTAGTTTGCTAAAATAAAACATCTCTGTGTGTAACTTTGTTTCTTCAGCAGCACAGACACGCCAAGTAATTCCGCTGCGCCATGTGCCTTGAGCACTCTAGTACAGAGCCAACTTCAAGTGTTTTATTATATTTTTCTGCCTGGGAACTGAGATCACAGGGAGAGGCCCTCTTGACTGTCCCATCAACCAAAGACACAAGAGGACATGAGAAAGGGCCTTTTTAGTGGCAGCCCCAAGATAATGGCACAACCTCTCCAATCTTTAGGAGGGTGTTGAAGTAGGGTTGTCATCCCCCTTATGGAGGCGGGGATTCCCCTGATTTTGGGGGGGCTAATCCACCACCTGTCAGCTGGCTGGCAGGGGTAGACCCACCCCCAAAGAGCTCCATTGCGCTTGACGTGCCCTGTGTGATGATGTCACCCGGAGGTAACATCATTGCTCTGGGCGTGTCATATGGGGGACACTCTAGCATTTGGCTAAAAACTCTATAGTCACCATAGAGTTTTCAGCCAAATGCTAGAGTGTCCCCTGTGTGACGTGCCCAGTCCAATGACATCCAGGTGACACCATCACACTGGGCACGTCGGGCACACACCAGAAGATCCTGGGGAGCAGCCTGGAGCCCCCCACTGGCACCCAGCAACCCTATGTTGAAGGTGGTCTTATTTTGGACTGCATTTAGCAAAGTTTATTCCTGACTAGTTGTGATTTTAAATTTTCATTTTTATGTTTTTAATGTATTTGATGGGTATTTTATCTATGTTGTAAGCTTCCATAAGGAAGGAAAGTGGCTAATAAATGTTTTAAGCAAATAAAAATAATTGTGTATCATGAAGACAGATGTGCCAGGAAGACCGGACTGATTACGGCTTCCTACATAAGATTTGTGTATCATGCAGACAGATGTGCCATGAAGACCGGACTGATTACGGCTTCCTACATTCATAGTGATACACACCTATCTGCCACTGTTTGAAATGTGCAAAGCAACTCTGAGATCCCTACCCTGCCCCCTTTCCAAACAACCTCTCTGGTAGCAATTCCAGAGACTGACATCTTTTGGAACATTCGCCCTTGCAACCCTGTGATGTCATTCAGTTGCCTAATGAGATCAATGAACACCGTACCGTGCCATCCTCCTGCATTGGAGACTCCTCCTCCTCCAGGGTCATAGCACTTGTTGTGGCAGTGAGGCTGACGGAGGGAGTGAGGCCAGGTGCTGGCCCCACAGCAGGTTCCATCTTGATGGGGGCGGAGTCCAGATCCGAACCCAGGCCCCAGTCTTCGTTTTCCAGTTCGGCTGGAATTAAGAGCATAAGACATTAGGAACCAGGGCCATAACAGGCAGACTTCATCAAAACAGGTGGGGAGGGAAGAAAGGAAGGAGAAAGAAACCCAAAACCAAAGCAAATCCCAGCCAAGGACAGGAAATCTGGGGAGAATTATTTAACACTTTACACAAATCTTTCCCCCCCTCCCCTCCCAGGAGTTTTCTTATTACAGGAACCTGGAGCTTTAAACTGCAGTTCAAACGCAGTACAGAGATGTAGGGAGGGTAGGCAGAAAACAAGGTAATTACCAAAAGCTAACCAACAATAGCTGCAAACAAGACTAAACAAGGCATTAGACAAAGCAGCTGCGGGTGTTATCTGTGCAACTGTATGCACCAACGAACACTCTGTCTGTCCTGCTATCAAGGTTTGAATGAAAAGCCTGTAAAAAGCATGACAAGCACGTCAAGATAAATTCATCGACATACGTGATAACAGAGAGAAATACAGGAAGAGCCGAATCACACTGGGCAGTTTATATGATCATAAATAGGGATCTATTGCTTATATGTTGTCAGGTCCCCACAGCAAACAACGTAGTACACACTTGCAAGAAGGTTTTACTTTATTGAAGCCATGAAGCACTAGAACAGGATCACTGTTCAGAATAACGAAAGTCGAGGTGCACGAAAGGATAAAGCAAGTTCATAATTACACTACCCAATGGATATGGTTCCCCCGTGCGGCCAAGAGGCCCCGCTCGCGCTCAAGCCCTGAGAAGCAACGGCTCCTTAACTATAAACAATTATTCTATTCCCACCACTACTGCTCATTACAGACTAAGCTAAACCGTCTGTGCTCTTCCACCTGTGGCCTTGGCGAGATAGCGTTACATCAAAGCAAGACTAGCGTTCATGGAAAGGAATGCATTCTAATGGGAAGATGTGTGCATGACAGGCTGAATGCACTTCCGAGGCTGGGGGGGGGGGGGTAAGGGTAACATACATACACAGGAAAGAACCTTTGGCAGCTTGCTGACATATGTTTAGCATTTATGTGCCCACCTTTGCTTTTAAAGGGATATAACTAGGGTGGTCAGCTCTGGGTTGGAAAATACCTAGACATTTTTGGGAGTGGAGCCAGAGGAGGGTGGGGTTTGGGATGGGGAGGGACTTCAATGCCACAGAGTCCACCTTACAAAAGCGGCAATTTTCTCCAGGTCGGTCGACTGATCTCTGTTGACTGTCTGGAGATCGGATGTAATCCCAAGAGATATCCAGCTACTACCAAGAGGTTGGCAACCCACATGAACCCCTCAGATCACAGCGGGGTGGAAATATAAAAAAAAATGAAAATAAAATTTGGTTCAGGAATAGCCATGGAGGATCAGATTACATCTCCACCTTGTCCAGTCTTCCACTTCTAAGGAAGGCCACAAAAGTAATAACGCTCCTTTTATACTTCTAGCAACTGCTGTCCAGAGAAAGAGCAACTCTGAAACATGCGAGTTCCATTTAGTAATCATGGCTAGCAGTCACGGAGAGCCTTCCATCAATTTTTCAACGCATATCACTCAGGAACTGCATCGAGACCCTGTGCTTGTCGCCGTCTTTGCTGGCAACTTCTTTCCACCAGAAATATGATACCCAGAAATGATGAACGGCTTTGCCTGTCTTGGCTAGAGGGGATATTTATACATCAGCAGAATTAATATCCTAGGAGTTCCAGCCACAAAGGCGGGGAGAGAAACTTAAAAAATCCAGAGCAAGAAGCCCCGCAGCCTCCGACTCCTGTAGCCCTGAAATGAACAGCATGGAGAGAAGAGGGGGAAAAAACCATGGCTTTGATGCTAGTAATTACTTTGTGGTGTAATCTTAACCTCCCCTGCTGCTAAGACAAGATGTAATTTGAATAAAAGACAAGCCGGGCCAAAAAAGATTATGAACAAAAATAAATATGTATACATCCTGTAATCAGATGCTCCAAAACAGTAATCCAAGCTCTGCCATCTCCACCTTGTCCAGTCTTCCACTTCTAAGGAAGGCCACAAAAGTAATAACGCTCCTTTTATACTTCTAGCAACTGCTATCCAGAGAAAGAGCAACTCTGAAACATGCAAGTTCCATTTAGCAATCATGGCTAGCAGTCACGGAGAGCCTTCCATCAATTTTTCAACGCATATCACTCAGGAACTGCATCGAGACCCTGTGCTTGTCGCCGTCTTTGCTGGCAACTTCTTTCCACCAGAAATATGATACCCAGAAATGATGAACGGCTTTGCCTGTCTTGGCTAGAGGGGATATTTATACATCAGCAGAATTAATATCCTAGGAGTTCCAGCCACAAAGGCGGGGAGAGAAACTTAAAAAATCCAGAGCAAGAAGCCCCGCAGCCTCCGACTCCTGTAGCCCTGAAATGAACAGCATGGAGAGAAGAGGGGGAAAAAACCATGGCTTTGATGCTAGTAATTACTTTGTGGTGTAATCTTAACCTCCCCTGCTGCTAAGACAAGATGTAATTTGAATAAAAGACAAGCCGGGCCAAAAAAGATTATGAACAAAAATAAATATGTATACATCCTGTAATCAGATGCTCCAAAACAGTAATCCAAGCTCTGCCAAGAAGGGCAACCTTTTTTTTTTTAATCATAGTGGGGTTTTTTATAGCATCTATGTTTAAAGAGATTCTTGGCCCTTTAAAAAAATACAAAACCCAACACATTTCGAGGAAAAGCCAAGTCTCACCATATGGCAAACTATGTCAGAGACTGGAAAAAATTATTCTCCTCCCCTGTAATAATATCCCTCCACTTTAGCATGCTCACACACACCCGAACTAGGGCTTGTGCACAAGTTACAGTTTAAAGCAGGATTGCTACATGATTAATGCATGGGTACATGGTGCTCAGATAAGAATAGAAGAGGCCAGATGTGACATGGAGTCAACAGGCCATCCAAACCAGGCGACTGGAGTATCAGCAATTTTTAGATTCTCGTGATTCAGGGCACCATTAAACCACTGAGTTGCAGAAGTCTAGCATAATCTAGCTCAGCAGACGAATCAAGTCTAAACTCATCATGCTTGGCTGCACTTGGAGCCAAGCACAACTGCCCCTAGAGTTCCTCTCCAGTTCAGACGGTAAGCCAAACTGATGTGCCGTCCTCTCTTCCTGATACATGGGACACTGCAGTGGCAATATTTCAGGCAGCAGAGACCCCAGAGAGGTCATCGGGGTGGGTCATTAAGGGCTCTGGAAACGACACTTCCCAAGACACTTTGCACTTGGGATGCTGAATACACAAACTATGGGACACAAGCCACAAGGAAATCATCCTTCTGAGCATGCCGTATAAAAACGAACGGGAACAATACAAGAAGAAAAGTCTGTGGATTGATACAGTATGTTAATTAGTGAATAAGGCAGAAAATGAATACTTTTCATTCTCTGCCTTATGCATCATAATGTCTTGGGCTAGGCCTGTTTATCTGAGATCCTTTAAGCAGAGATACCAGGGACCTCATACATGCAAAACATATGCTCTTCCAAAGAGCCCAAAGAGCCCCTTTCCAGCTCTATGATTCTATAGTCAGTCTTCAAGTCAAAATAATCCCCAGTATGCCTTCGGCATTCAATTTTTTTCAAGGTACCTATGGGCAATGCTCCCTCGAAGCTGTGGAGTCTTGTGAGCAAAAATTCTACTTTGTGAGCTACTGGCATTAAGGTTGTGAGCAAGTGATTTGGCTACTGCATAAATTAATTTGCTCTGGAGTCATCCTTCCTGAATGAAGGCAAAAAGTGTGTGAGCTGGAGGCTAAAAAACTATGAGCTAGCTCACACTAACTCAGCATAGAGGGAACACTGCCTCTGGGACACGTTGCCTCTGGCACCATTGGCTGCACACTGCTTTAGGCTGAGGTCAGCCATAATGGGCTCTTCTGCACTGTCATTTTTTTCACTCGTTTGTCCCTATTGCTTTGGGTCCGTCTGCCCCCCCCCTTTTCCACACATGTTTTGCTCCTTCTGGGATTACTAGAGACAGAAAAAAACATGGGGGGGGACCCTGAAGCTATAGGAACACATGAGTGATGAAAATCAGAATGTGGAAGAGCCCATAGCTTCTATGCTGAGCTGCACATTTCATGAGCCCCCCCTCCCCCGAAAAAAGCAGGGGATTTGGTGGAAGAGAAGCCTGAACCATCAGTCACACCTTGGCTCTCAAGACCTGATGTGGTACAGTGGTCAAGTCCGGCTTGGCTAGAGGGCTCAAATGCCCCTTCAGCCGTGCCACTCACTGGGTGGACTTCGGGCTAGCTCTCACCTTCTTCTTTTTTTATAAGGATTTTATTAATTTTCTACATAGAAAAGAGAAAGACAATAACTACAGATAGAAAGAGACTAACAAACAACAAACATGGAGCACGTACTCATTATGACTGCTTAAATTTTACATAGATAGAATCATTCTTTTATACACCTAAACCAGTTTAACCTTTGAAATGTCAACCCTAGAGTCGGACTCGACTGGCTTTCGAGCAAGGGAACCTTTACCTTTAAATAGCCTTGTAGCCATTTATAAAGTTTTGCCCATTTTCTTTCAAAGTCACTTTCTAATTTCCCATGTAATTGTAAGGTTAACTTCTCCATTTCTGCTGCATCCAAAAGTCTAAAAATTAGTTCTTCCTTAGTAGGAGTCTCTTCTTTTCTCCAGTACTTTGCATATAAAATCCTGGGCTAGTTCTCACCTTCAAAGGATAAAATGGTGGCTTAAAATTCTCATATGCCCCCCTGATCTGCTTGGAGGCGCAGGGACAAGATATAAACGAAGGCAAAGAAAAATACAAGAAATGGCAATAGACCCTTCCAAGACACAGATGCATTCCTTCATCTGCCTGTCACCCATTTCTGGCTATCAGCACATTAAAAAGGTAAAGGTTCCCTTGCTCGAAAGCCAGTCGAATCCGACTCTAGGGTTGCGGTGCTCATCTCCGTTTCAAAGCCGAAGAGGTTTCGAAGACGTCCGAAGTTTCG